GTTATTTTTAAGTTGAAATGCCCCTTTAAGTAAAAATAAGCGTTTTGAGAAATATTTTATTTTGCATGTTGACTGTAATTTTCATTGTGAACTAGGGAAGGGTTCAAAAAAACACAAAAAAAAAAGGCACAAAAAAATGAACAAGACTTGCATTGCTTTTTGCACTTGCATCAAACATGAATTTGGTCTCAAAATCATCTTGTTTTTTCCTGTTTTTTTTAATATTCTGTGTTGTAGAATTGTTAGGATGCTCTGCAGAATTGCAAGGAGTTGTTCACTCACTCTTCTTCCCTTAAGTGCCTCACTTCTATGAGCTCTGCACGTCTCTGAAAGTATTTAATTCCTTTATGAATACAGTACTGCTTTAAAGAAATGAAATATTGATTCCATTCCCTGATGGGGCATTATCTGTATTTTACTTAAGGAAATCACAAGCACAGAGAACTGAAGTGGCCCAGACTCACAGAGCTGGAAACTGAAACTAAAAATTCTCACCCTGAATTTTCCCACGTTATTTATTTCATTACTAATCTGAAAATAATTACCCAATGGTATTTTAAAAAAAATTTGGATATAAGTTTATTTTTAATAGGAATGTCTGGTATCTGATTTAATTTGTATAATCAAAAATGTGTCAGTTTCTGCTGAACTATTGAACTGAGAAGAGTAGAGTTCAAAAGAGAAGAAAGGTCATGCTGATGTTATCAGGTCACTGCTGGAAAAGATTGTGTCATAGGGAGCTTCTTACTGGCAGCAGTCCTGTCTGCTTGTGCTGAAATGCCAGATAAATTGTTATTTGTTTGGGATCTGAGGGCAGAAGTGAAGATGTTTTGAGGTTTTATTTAAAAAATAAGTATTCTTCATTGTTAGAGGGCTGTGTGAAAACACAAGACAGCTTAGGATGTTCCCAGCCTCCATGACAGTTGGTTTTATTCTTCATGCCCCAACACCAGGATTTAGTCTAATATGAAAATCTTGTTTGTCATTTTACAAAGCAAAAAACCCCCAGAATGGAAAGAAATGCTTCTGCCAGTTACAGAAAAGCAAAATGAAAATGTGACAATGCCTGTGTACTGCAAAGGTTGAGGAAAAAACCCCAACAGAAGGTGAATTAAAAACCCCAACCAAAATCAAGTAGATTTATTGGTTTCTAAAGCCCAGTGATTTCTGGAGCACTGACTCATGGTGTGTGAATGCCTGGGCTTGCCAGGAGCCTGCACTGAAATGTGACCCTGCTGCCTTGGGCCATATATGGGAAATTTCCCTCTGTGACAAAGGTAGGGAATCCAGGAGATGCAGGTCCCTGGCTGAAGCGTTCCTTACCTCCCATCCTCTCAGTCTTCTGTAAAAATGCATTTTCTGGGTCGGATCCCACGGGGATCCCACGTTCAGCACTTGTTTGATCCCATGAGCTGGGTTTAGGTGAGCTCTGCCTGTCCTGCCTCTCTGCTGCACACAGGTGATGAAAAGGCTTGACAAAGAACTTCAATGTTCTGCCATAATCGATGTACAGAGGTGTGGCAACAAAGGAGAATTACCTTTTTTTGGGTCATGGCTTTAGCTCCCAGATACAAATGTTTCCTTGCATGGTTTGTGAGCCCCTGTGTGAGGTCTTGCAGAATCTCCTCAGGATGTGCCCCCTCAACTCAGCAACCAAAACCACGAGACCAGATGGCTCTTGGGTTTGTTCATGTTTCTGTTTGAATAAAGCCCAGATTTCAGGCTGCTTTGGTTTGGATTTCTCAGTCCTTAATATTCTGCAGAGATGGAGGCTGGAGAGAGAGAGGCACAGCAGTTGAGCCAGGATGGTGGTGAAGGAACCCATGCAGAACCTTCCAGCCCTAGAAACAAGCACTGCTAAGGCTGGAAATGGACTTTGCCATAACATCTGTCCCATCAATGCTGTACAGAGTTCATGCTTGTCCTGCTGGCACACACTGGGTGCTAAGGCCTGAACTCTCCCTCAGTTTTCAAGCTCTTCTCCAGGGCTGCATGTAAGCAATTCTGAATTTCAAATGCTTCCGTGCTAGAGATTGGCACAAGAATAATATTTATGGAAATGCTTTACAACTTCAAAGCCCCTCTCAAAGTTCCACCTGTATTCACTTCCTTCAGATGACAGTGGGGAAGTTTCCCTTGTCCACAGATAAGGTGACTAAACCATACATAAACTCACTTTTTTATTGTGCTATCTTTTTTTATCTCAGGAACAAAACCAGTCCTCAGGTTTGTAATCAACATCCTGGACCTTTTTTTAACTGCTGACTAATTTCTAAGTATTTCTGCAGCCTGGGAGGGCAGAGCTTCCCACACCATGTCGGATGTGACGTGTGTGCTGATCTCTGTATGTGTGTGCTGAAGGAGAAGATCTGCAGCTGCATTTTATTCTATTTCAACACCTAGTTTGGATTTGAATTCAGATTAATTTGGAATAGGCATAGCTATGAAATGAGTCTGCAGTGTTTGTGCTTGTTACGATGTATCTCAGTTATATACATCCAGATCTGTTTCAGTCCAGCCAAATAAAAATTATCTTTTTTCAGGCTCCAGTTAAATGGGTTAGAGGTTGCCTGCCAGTCTGCACAGAGCTGGTGCATCCAGTCCTACTGCACGTACACTTTCCCACTTACATAAATTCCATGGGGTTTAGGTTCATTTTCAGCCAGCAGCTCCTGGAATAAGGTGGGGAGAAGAGTAGGTTTGGCATGTGAGAAATTTTGAGACTATATTTTGATTTTGGACAGGGGAAATTTAGAAGTTTACTAGTTAAAAATAAACCCATAGCTTGGCATGACAAGTAATTTCCAGGATTTCCAACTGGTGTTGTAATTTATCAGCAAACACTCTCAGTTCTGGGTGCCTGAGACACAGTGATAACTTTAGGGCCAACTGCAATCCCAGTTTCAGAGAAAATTAATGTAATTCTGGCTAGTCTTGTCCAGTTCTGAATTTGAGGAGCTCTGTCTGGGATAATGCACCTCTCTCTTCCCCTTCAACTGCCCACATATGCTTGTGCTTCATTCCAAAGCTGAACTGTTGGTGAATATGTAATTTATCCAAGATGTGTGATTGTAACCATAGGCCTTTGGGGCCAGAGATTCCAATGGAAATAGCTTCATCTCTTTTACCTGGAGTAGGGAACTTGAGATGTGATGAAAATACAAATCTATATCCTTTCTCCTCCCCTTTTTTTCTCCAGCTCCCTGAATTCCCCCACTTAGGAGAAGGGTGTCATTAAGCCATCTGACAGTTTTGAAATCACTCTCCAGCAGAGGGGATTCCAAGCTGTTCCCTGGTTAAACTGTGGATCTGCTCCTGTTTGTTTGCAATACCCAAACACTGAAGTCACTGACTCCACAGCAGTATTTTGCAGCACAGCAGAAACTTATTTTCAGCAAGGTTCTATTCTGGGCATTGTAAAATTTGCTGAGAGAGGGAGGTATTTGTAGTGTGGGGAGGAAGAGGAGGAGTCCCTGAAAAGCTCCTGCTGTGCCTTTGGAGCCACTTTGTGGCTCCCAGGTGGGCACAGATCCAGGAAACCTCCCCCAGCTGTTGGCACGGGGCTGTCATGGAGGAGTGGTCGAGGTGGGTTTTGAGATGAAATCTGGATAGGATGGACCCTTCCTGGAGTGGGGCTGGTTAGGGAAACTGCACAGTTATTTAAATGTTCAGGTTTTCATTGAGGATTTATTGCTACCTATTGCAATTACAGTTTTAGCAGTGACCAATGCAGCTGAATCCAAGAAAACATGTGAGGATAGGAATGAAAGGAGAGAAAAATCCAGCATGGACCTTTTTCTCCATAATGAGAAGGACTGGTTGAGTTAGGAGGGGATAGCCCAGGATTCCTGGACTGCTCCTTGCTGACATTTTGGTGGAGAGGTTCCACTTTCAGTGATACTTTTGGGTGTGACACTAAGGATAGAGACACTTCCACCCATTCAGGACACTGGGAATAAGAGAAGAGTACTCTGGAATCCTGCTTCTCCAGACTCTCCTTTCTCCTCCTGACTTCTTGGTTCATGCCATAATTACAACTGATTTATTTCAGCCTTGCTGAAATATCAAACCAGTGTGAAAGAGCACAGCAGCTTTTGGAATTGTTTTTCAGCATAGCAGGAGAGTGGAAGGGAGATAAGCCCAAGATCACCGTGTGTCCCTTGGGAACAGGTATGGGACTAAGGAATTGAGATAGACTGGATAAGAAAAATAATTTTCTAAAATCACATTATTTCATTAATCACTTTTTGTTTTCTCTTAAATTTGCTGGAAGAATATCACTGACTTGCAAAGGAAAAAGGCAGTTGACTTTCTATCTTGGCAGATGTCTTGAGACCTAATTACAGTTAACAGCAAAAAGAACTTTTTATCTAAATATTTTTCAATATATAAAATGTACTTTGGGTCAAAATAAACAGTTTATATTAAAATAATACTCACCACAGGTATCCAGTTCCTTACAAAACAGGATTTCCAAGCTTCTCATGTTAAAATGGGGGAAATGTGGTGTTACTTGTGCTACAGAGGAGAGGGAAAGTGGGCAAGAGTTGAGTTTGCAGTTCAGGTGCAAAGCTGGGAGTCAAGTGAGAAGGTGTCTGTTTTGGAATTATCTTTCTGAGCAACGCTTTGTAAATCCCACAGCTTTCTAAAACAATTTTCTCAATTTCAAATGGGAATTGCAGCTCTCTAGTTTCAAAGAGGTGCTTGAAGCCGAGATCCTTTGTGCTTGTAACAGTGCTGGTGGGATTTCAGGTGCAGATCTGTCTGTAAACCTGAGCAGCATCAGGTGTTGCTGCGAGTGCTGATATGCACTGCTACAGCTGCAAAATGCTCTCGGAATATCTGCTGGATTTTTGTCACGTATATAAGAACTCATAATTTTCCTCTCGGCTAAGCCAATTTTCCAGGGGCTTACCTGGCAAATGGTCTGCTCAATGTAAACCAGGTTATGGCAGCATGAAAGGAGCTTTGTCTGCACGATGGTTTCCTCTGCACCACGCGGGTGGGAAGTGACTCTCGGTGCTTCTCTGGGCTCAGCAGCAATTGAAGGCGTTTGAGCAGAGCTGTGTGTGGCTGTGCTGAACGCCTGTGGCCCCATTCCAGCTTTTTCCTGCTCTGCCTTGCACCCTGCCCCAGCGGGCTGCCGTGTTTACTCTCTGCTCTGTGGTAAATGGATGTCACTTCCTTCATTAAAATGCTGGTGCCTGGCCAGGTTCCCTTCCTTTGGGCTCGCACGCTCGGAGCAGCGGCGCTGCCGAATCCAGCTGTGTGCCACGCTCCGGGATCTGCTCCTGCCTGCCTCGTTGGGATCTGCTGAGCCTGCCCGGCTTCTGAGCCCACACACACGGAGGCTTTTGGAGGCTTCTCTGGGTGGAGAAGCGCAGGTGGAGCAGGGGCTGGAGATGGGTTATTGCTGGGGGGCGCAGGCTGCGCTTCCAGCCAGGGACTGCGCGCAGCCCGTGGGGAAGGTGTAGGCAGCGCTGGGAATGGGGTGCCAGTGCCAGCCTGCCCTGGCCAGCCTCTGGACATGAGCATGTGGGTGCTGTTCAAGGGCATCCCCTGATGTGCCTGGCAGTACAGACACTCGTGGATGCACAGGATCACAGCCAAAGGGACACAGAAATCCTGGACACTGTTCTGAGCCCTCGGTGCGGACTGACCTGAGCTCTGTCGCTGACCAGGGGCTCACCTGAAGAGTCTCAAACTGACATCAAAGTTGCTGATCAGACTGGTGAGCAATTAAATATTTGTCTTTGTAAGGATTATTGCTGTTGCATGTTTAGATGATTAGAGATGGGAGATATTTCCAGGCTTTTGGAAGTCATGGAACAAAATGGAAAAGTGTTTCCTCCTTCCATATCACAATTTCTTGTGTCTCCCCCACCTGAGCACTCCTAGCTGTGATCCAGTGCTTTTATTTATTTACTCATTTTTCAAGGTGTTCATGCTGTCACCTTGGGCACAGGTGAATTAGTACCTTTACTCATAAACATATTTTTTCCTATCCCTACATAAAAATCTGTCAGTCTTAATCCAGTTGTTTTATACAGTAAATCAGATGTACTTTCCTTGTGACAGATTTGTGTCCCATCTCTTCTTTTCTCCTGCTCTGTACTGGTTGAGACACTATGTCTGCAAATGTCATGCTCAGACTGGCAGCCTGCTCCCTTCCCTTGTCCCTTCTGCAAGTGGCTCATTTGCTGACTTTTCCAGCTGTCCCAACATATGGCTGCTCCCATTTATCATAATTCAGGTCTGTGCTTGGGACAAAGGCAGATAAAAATAATACTTTGTGTATAAGTGGCATTTGAGCAGATTATTCTATAGCTCTGTTATCAAGCAAATGCTATTTTTTTGACCTAACTGTGAATTCAGATTGTAAGTGGAAGGTCATTAGTGAAACTAATTTTAGCTAGACATTTCTTATCAGTGCAGGTTTGTTGAAATAAAAAAAAAAAAAAGTAGTAAATTGTAACAATGACCAATTGTGCAACACTATTAATGGAGCACCAAGGTGGTTAACTCATTAAACACTTTAACCATTTCAAACAGCGTTCATCAAAGTGAGATCTGATTAATTTTACGGGGGTTACAGCATGGATCAATAACAAAAATAGTAATTTTAAAAGTGAGCTATCAATACATGAGTATTTTAAAGCCTTTTTCTGGCCTCCTGAACAATTGCCTTGATCTTCAAGCTGCTAGAAGTGTCAGGAATGAATGATTTAGTGATCAGCATTATCCCAGGGTTGGTGTGTTGTGTTGAAAGCTGTGTCTTAGCAGAGTTGTGGAGGACACGCAGTGTGTGTGTGTGTCCAGCTCAGCCCCGTGTTGTTGTGGAGTGTCTGTAGCTGCTCACTGCGGGTTCTGAAGGCAGTGAGAAGGTTCTGAAGTGGGAAGGAGGGATGAGAGACAGAGAGGAGCTGGGCGGTTCAGGGGGCTGATGGAAAAGCAGCTCCTTGTGTGGGGAAGCTGGTGGGGCTGATGAGCCAACAGCACTGCAGGGAAGCCAGCCCTGGCAGAGCTCTTCTCCTGCATCTCCCTCCCTTTCTGGCACCCAGCTCCATCTGCAGTAGCCTCGAGGGTCATCAGCCCTGCTGTTCCAGTGGTTAAAGGCCTCTCAGGAGCAGAACTACTTGCTGCTGTGGTTTCTCCTCGTGTGGGAGGAAAATCAGCTGCTTCTGGGAGCTCAGTTCCTTTTGATCCCTTGATTCAAGTGTCTCCTTGGTGCTGCTGCATTCCAGCTGCTGAATTCCTGAGCAGTCACGAAAAGGAGCCAGACCCAGTCCCTGAGAGCTTTATTATACAGAGCTGGAAGCTCATTCATTTCGAGATGTTCCTTTGCTCGCTCTAGCCCCTTGTTGTTTGTACCCTTAGGAAAATAAATGCAAGGTTTATATTCAAACATAAACCACAGTTTCCCTCTGCAGCCACAGCCTACCCTTTGATGAAATCCAAACAGCATGTGTAATAAATCCTTGTGGAGGCTGTGATCCCTGATACTCCAGCTAGCAAGGTTATGGCAGTGATATTGCATATGGAGTGAGAACCTGAGTTCAAATACTCTTTAAAATGAAGATGGAAAGTATAAGAATCCAGGTCTGCATTATGAACCCTGACTTCAACTATGTATGGGAAGAAAATCTTGACATCCCTGGAATTTCCTTCGGAATTAAATTAATTCAGAGCTCCTAGCATTGTGTAGAAGGTGTTAATGAACTGGTGATGAAATTAATTTCATTCTCCTGTTTAAACGCAGTGAAGAGAGTCATGGCATGCACAGCTTCATACTGGAAAAATAAATAATCAAATTATAAAAGCAGTCCAGCAGAGCATGGTGGAGTGCTGGCACCACTTTGTCCATGGCAAGCACCTCCCTGCCATTTACTGGATTTCTCCTGGCTTTCCTTAAAGCAACTGCAGAAAGGAGATGAAAGCCCCTCTTCCCAAGGTGATTGCCGTGTGGGTGGATGTGTTTGCAGGTCCGGGATGCACTGTTTGATCTCGTGTCTCCACCCTTGACGAAACTCCCTCTCCCTTTGCCTTGGCACATGCTCCAAGCACAACGTGCACTTAGGATTTAGGGCAGGTGGTTTTTGGCTGGCAGCAGTCGCTGTTGGGTGCCTGCCATGCAGCTTCCAGTTTGCCAAACCCAGCTGAGCTGCTCAAGGAGTTGTTTCTGTGGCACTACAGGCACCTTGTCCAAGGATAATGCTGCTGTCAGTAGTGCCTGTAATGTCAGCTATTCCAGCAAGTCCACATCTTTTATTCAGGAGGTTCCTGGAGAATTCCTGAAATCCATGCTGTCATTAAGTTTTCCAAGCTGTCACACTGTTATTAGCCAAGTTACTGTAAGTTTTTTCCCAGCCCCGGAGCACAACACAGAAGTAGCTCTTTCCACTGGGTGGTTTTTGTCTGGGCAATAATTTGTCACTTTGTAGCTGTGGAGCTCCTTGGGTGCAGGACAGCAGCTCCTTTGCAGGGGATTGACAGGATTTGTACAGGGCAGAACTCCCTGGTTCTGACTCTCAGACTGCCACATCTGTAACATCCATCCCTCCCTCCCTCCATCCTTCCCTTGGGGAAATAAACAGTTCCTGGACTGTGCTCACCACGTACCTCTGGATGGGTAACAGAATAAATAAGGAAATAATTTTGCTGTAGCAAATATTGTAGAATTATCAAGGCAGTTGTCATCCTGAAATTCCACTGAGGCATTCTGCTTGTAATTTTGAGTCCTGTATTGGGGGCAGTGCTCATTTCCTTGGCTCTAAAGCTGATCCTGTCCAGAACAATGGAAAATCCCTCTTGAAGCAGCTGCTGAATTTTATCTATATTTCTTGCTGCTGTTTCAGTGCAGCTGTAGGCAGCTACAGAAGTGTTGTACCTGTGTGCTCCTTTCTATCCAAGAACAGAGATGCCATTTGAAAACTGTTACAGAGCAGGGGACAGTCCTGGTTGTTGTTTGTTTATGGCTTTTCCTTTCAATGCTTTTGTAGTTGAGCAGGATTAAGGTTCTTCTAAAGCAACATCTGAGCTTTTTGTTGGCCTGTTAATTCCTGGCAGTCACAGAGCTACAACCCCAGCTGAATGCTGAGCTCTCTCTTATTTTATCCCGGTTTGTGCACTGCCTTGTGTTTTTCTTCCCAATGTTTGACATGTTGCAATGTTCCAGAGTGAATTAATAGGCTGTCTTTTTTCAGGAAAACAAAGTTTTTGGGGGCAGGCAGTAGCATTTGTGTATTCTCTTATCGTGGGTGGCCTTCAGCTTGCAGGGGTCCTTGAAACAGGAAGGGAGCTGAACTCTGGACACAGTTTTCCACTGCTGTGGAGGCTGTGAATGCTTGTTGGACTGTGCAGCTTTCATGTTGTTTAGATTTGTGATTCCTAGGAACAAATTAAACCTCCAAAGACTGTGATTTCAAGCAGAAATTCTGTATTTTTGCAAAAGAAAGGCTCTATTAACTTCTGAGTGGGACAGAGAGCTTGGAAATGAACGTGCAGAGAGAAAAAGGGTAATTGTTTTTTTATCTGTGCCATCTAAAGTGCGTGTTTGATTGCAGGGCACAGCTAATACAGATGGATGATAGAGTATTTCTGTTCATGCACTGCTTTCCTCCATGTATTTATTGGGATCTCATTGCCAGCCTAAGTGCAATCCACACTATTTATTGAGGTCTGCTTGCCAGCCCAAGTGTCATTTCCACTGCAGCGCTGAGCACATCAGCCACACACGAGCCCACGGTGTGAATGTGGAGATTTTCACTGCAATGTGCTGAGCCTGCAGGGAGGGCTCCTGCCTCAGCTCACACTGTGGGGTTGGAAAGGCATCTGTCCAGGACAGCAGGGACTCTGCCCAGCCAAATTCAGCCACGTTTGGAAAGGATTAAAGATGCCACTAAAGCAACAGATACTGGAACAGCAGCAGAGTGCAAAAGCTTCCCAATTCAACGACATCAGCCCCAAAGATTCAGCTTAAAAAAGAACATATTATACTCGATAACCTTTAGGATTCATATCAGCCCTGTTCCCTTGGGAATCTGGAGTTTCACAGTGGCAATACTTACTGAGTAAAAAGCAATGGATTAGCTGTGCAGCTGAGAGATGTTTTATTTCCAGAAGTTTATAAAATCAAGCAGTTGCTGAACACTATTACTGAGAGAGCTGATTTTTAAGACATAAAAGAAACAGTTCAGAAAATCCCATGTGAGAGCAGAAATGCAGAGGAGGCAATTTGTATTCAGTTTACCTGTAAGTGGTGACACATGGTGTGTGCTCCAGAAACTGAATGCCCACATGAATTCAGATTTCTTTGTAAACTTCCAAAAGCAAGTTCAAAGCAGTGTATTTCTGGAATATTGCAGCAGACGTGGTCTGAGAAGACTTTGGAACTGAGCATTTTGCACTGGACTGTGTTAGGATTTTTGGTAAGTGTGTGTGTGTATATGTGTGTACATATAAAATTTGACTTGAAAAAATAAACTAGTGATTTTGTGTCTCAGCTGCAGATGTTTTCCCAAGCAAGTTACCCAAAGCAGTATTTGATTTTCTTACATTACTGACATTGACCTGCTGTGTGATGATTCAGCCTTGTAATGCTGTAAATTCAGCTGAGAACTGCAGTGTGAAATCAGTGTCTGTCCTTGCTTTTATTTTATCTTTTTGGATTTGTAGCTGTAAACCTGTAGAGGGATTTAGGATAAAGCTGAGGAATAGCCATTTATGATCCTGCTGCTGATTTTATTTAACTGTTCTGTGCCATATAATTTGAGCTTTTGTGTTCTTATCCCGATGCATTATTACATCCTGATAAGTATTACAGCTTATGTGAAATAGAAACAGCCTGTTACAGCAAACTCAGAATCTGATATAGCCAAGTGGAACATAAATTTTATCTTATCTTCACTGTAGTCTCTTAGCCCCATGAAATTTTAGTAATAAAGTTCTCTTGATCTTTATTTGTCCCTTCTCACCAAGGCTGCATCATGCTGGACTGGGGGTGTGGGGTTTGTGTGCGTTTGTCAGAGAAGGATCAGAAGTGGCAAAGTGCTGTTAGAAGTGAGCCATGGCTGCTGCCTTGTCCCCTCAGCTGCCAGCCTGACCCGAGCTGTCCCTGCAGGTACGATGTGGGCGAGCTGCTGTAACTGGTTCTGTGTGGATGGCTCCCCTGAGGAGATGCAGCCGCCGCCGGCAGCGCCCGCCCAGGCCTACTCCAACCCCGGCTACAGCTCCTTCCCCTCTCCCACTGCCTCCGAGCACAGCTGCAAAGCCTGTGGGGTGCACTTCGACAGCTCCTCCAGCAAGGTGAGTGCAGAGCCTGCCCTGCCTTCATTTCACTACAGACACACCTGTCCTCGGAGCTGGGGACATTTCAGCTCACCTTGCTACAGGCATCATTCGTGTGACTGCAAATCCTTCAGCACGCTTCCCCAAACTGCTGGTCGTCACTTAAACATGAGTTACTGAATTTCTTATTTTAAAACACTAATGTCCTTTAAAAATAAATATTGTGGCAAGAAGTTTAATAATGTTTATGCTTTCTCTAAAGGAACAGCTACCTGACTGTTTTCCAAACTGTTGTTGCTCAAACTAAAAACCAGTGAAGTTTCTTGGGGATGTGTGTAGAACTGCTGAGCAAAAATTGCCCCAGACCAAACCCAGATCTGTTTTATCTTGCTTGTAAACTTGATTTGTGGTTATATAAATGCCAATATAATTGGTACCACAAGACTTAATTCGACAGCAAACCCTGCCTGGGGCATTATTTGGACATGGTGGGTCCTTTAATACTGCTTGAAAATGTTCCAGTGAAGAAAATTGTTCTGAATCCACATTCTGTGGCTTGTGAAGTGTCTGATCTACAGTTACTGAACTTAAGTATGTGAGAATTTAAAAATAATGGTAAATCCTGGCCACAGCCCTTTTACATTATATGGGAAAGTTCATAAATTGTTTTTCCTTGCACTTTTTTATTCATGCATGAGGACACACCTCTGAGGAACAGTGAGTCTTGTTAGAGCTGCTGCTTTCTACTCCCAGGACAACAGGGATGTTGATGCATTTTTGCACTGAGAAGTGCAGTTGCTTGAGGAATCAAACTGTGGTGATGTATTTTGGGGTGTGTGAGTACACTGAGACTTCTCCTGGTGCTGGGTCAGCTGCAGTGGGGCTGTCCCTGCTCGTGACTGTGTAGTGTTGTCTTTGTGAGGACACATGGCTTACTGAGGACAATGTCAAATCCTTGTGGGGAGAGTTACCCTGGACCCAGCACTTGCTCTTGGGCATGGTTGCAAATAGTGGATTCTGAAATGAAGCCAATTCAGGCAGTTGTGAGCTGAACAGCAGAACCACAGCCCTGTTTTCCCCAGTGTCTCCTAAATACTTGTTCTAAACAAGCAGCGTCTTGTACAGAGCCATCGATGGCTCCAGATGAACTCTGAGTGGGGAGAGGGAAAGCTCTGGTGCACAAACTGTAGAGGATCTGCTAAAGCTGTTGAAAACATTCCTGCCCTCAGCAACTTCCCCCTTTTCCTGTGGGATCTGGTGTCTGTCCCTGTGCTTGTGTCCAGCTGCTCCCGCTCCAGGCTGTCAGGGAAATTGAGGCTGAGGTTTGTGTTCTGTAGTCCAGAGGGGGCTCCCAAACCTCCTCCCACCTTCCTGCTGCCCCAGCTCCTGAGCAGTGGTCTCTGGGGCTGACTGGAGCCTGGTGGCTGCAGGAGGGGCTGCCAGAGCTCACCAGTCAGGTCTCTGAGGGAATGAAAACATCACTCACAACACACTGGTGTGTTTGGGAGATGTGGGCATTCCTCAGTGCTGTTGCTATGGAGGGAGAGGTGTGTGAAATCTCACTGTGCTGCAAGGACACCATGGAAAACTGCATTCTTTCCTGGGAGGGAGAGGCAGCACCTTTGAACTCCAGTGTCCAGCTAATGTTTATTCTGAAATACAGGGGATGAAAATTAATTCCTTTAGCACTTGACCATAAGGATAGCCTGGATTGCTTTAAAAATCCCCAACCCAACAAAACCCCTCACATAAAGCATTCCAGGGCTGTCTGAGCATGCTGACTGTGCTGTCAGTGAGCAGCAGTCAGATGTGGCCTGACCTTTTAGGAACAAGTGGAAATGTACAACAACATTTGAAGCTAATCCTTCTGAAGAGACCAGTGCCTTGAATCACTGCCCTTTCACACAGAGTTCAGTGAAGTTGTAAAAGCTGCTTGATGCTGAGATGTTGCCAAAATGTCCATGTTTAGACACTTGGTGCTCAGATACAGGCTGGGGAAGTTTTTTTTTTTCTCTGAAGGTAAATCCTGGTGCTGAGCTGCTAAGTCAGAGACGTGCCTGGGTTTATTTTCACTTCCCAAATATATCCTTTGATAGCTGAGGCAGGATTACTGTTAATTGCAAGAACATATTTGATAGAACAGCCCTTGTGCTGTGTTTGCTTTGTGATACCTAAAGATAGGAGTGCTCAAGTAGGAGTTTTCTGGCTGGTGGAAAGTCCTTGGCTATACAGGGGCTCCCTTTGGAGCCAGGTTGGCAATCTGGATTTTGGGTTGTTTTGTGTTATTGGGGTTTTCTTACCTCAATTCATCTAATTGCTCCCATGTCACAGATGGGGGATTCAGAGGGCAAGTGTTACCAACAGGGTTATTTTCCATTTCTCTGCCTTTGTGGATTTGTTTTGTTCCCCTGCTCTAGGCACACACAGCCATCAATTCCTGTCTCTGAAAATTTCCTGAGGAACAGGATTGCTCCTGCAATCACAGGGTCACAAAAAGTCAATTACATATTTATTTTTTTTTATGGTGATGAAATTAAGGAAAACTCCTCCAAACTGGATGTTGTGTGGAAATTGCCCTTCCTGCCTTGCTTTGTGATTGGTGAAAGCCACTTTTCCTTGGCAGGGCCCCAAGCAGCAGTTTTGAGATGAGGTTTCAAGAGTTTTTCTCTATGGTAGAAATGTTCATGTCCTAAAATGCTTGAGCAGGAAATTGGGATTGTTTCCAGTAAGTGTCACTGAGAATGTAGTACAGGCTCTAAAATGAGAGGCCTGGAGGTGTTCACTGGGGAGCAGGGGGTTCCAGGCTCAAAAGAGGAGCAGAAAGAGCTTTTGTAAGGAACTAGTGTATTAACACCCTGTAAAACATCTGCTTTCTTTCAGCTGGGAAATTAGAGATATTCTTCAATCATTACAGCAGTTCATAAACCAGTTCTTTGTCTTTGAGTTTGTATTTATTCTTCAACTCCACCTGTGTGTTTTTCCTTGCACAGCTCTGAAGGATCAGGATGTCAGGATTTCACAGAGGTGCTTGGCTTCTCTGAGACTGTGAATTAGCATTTTTTAACCAGCAACATTGCAGTCACTTCTTTCTTCCCTCAGGACTTTTTAACAGGCTGTTCTGCTGCTGTTCTTATTGGAAAATGTAGAATTTGCCTTTCCAAAGGGTTGAGCAGTCAAGTTTCAGCAGAAGCCAGCATGGACTGTGAGTTCTTGGAACTTCTGAAAATCAGGCCCTGAATGACAAGATTAGAGCAGTATCAAATATAAACATTTAACAACAGAATTCAGTCTGTAAAGCTTTTAACTGTCTGGGGCATAATATTTCCAAAACTTCCAGCACTTTCTGTCTAGCACTAACTGGTATAAAGTGTGTGTATTGTTTTCAAAATAAGCTATTTTTGTATAAATAAATGTCAGATTCTTTGACGTCTGTGAGACCTTGCTGTTCCCTGTCCCTCTTATGGTGAAACAAAGATTGATTCCATGATTGCAGCAAATTGGAGGGGGAAAAAGGAGGGAGGAATGTCATTCATAGCAGGTATTTGTGGAAGAGAATGTTTTTAAGTAGTTCCCTCCAATGCTGGAGCTTCTTAATGCACAGAACAATGTGCACAACTAGCTGGAATTACAAGTCTGCTGCCTCAATCTACTGATTTCCTCTGGCTTAAACTGCATGAGCAGGTGCAGAAAATTCCTGTCCTGTGAGGGAATCTTGTCAGGAGATCACATTTCATTCTGGGTAAATGGGGTGGGAATGGGGCTTCTCTAAGAACTGAGAAAGCTGCTGATTGCTCAGGGATCAGTCCTTTGCCTCCTGTAGGAACATGGGGAAGCACTTGGCACTTTTTCATGGATTGGAAGGTTTTGACTGTGCTTTGAGAGCAGCTGCTGCTCCCTTGGGCTGCGGCTGCCATGTGCTGCTGGCACAGGCCGCGGGCTGGCTCTCATTGCTTCCCCTCTCTTCCCCAGCACATCTGCTTGGACTGTAAGAAGAACTTTTGCACGTCCTGCTCAAACCAGGCCGAGGGTGGGCCCCTGCTCTGCCACCTGTGCCATCGCTTCCGAGCCACGGCTTTTCAGCGGGAGGAGCTGATCAAGATGAAGGTGAAGGATCTGCGGGATTACTTGGCACTCCATGAGATTTCCACAGAGTTCTGTCGGGAAAAGGAGGACCTGGTATTCCTGATCCTTGGCCAGCAGCCTGCAATTACCCAGGAAAATCAGATAAGAACAAACACATTTAATACCAGTGCCCGTGGACAGCAAGACTTTGTGAGTCACCCCCCAACCAACCTGGCCTCTCCTACCTCACACGATGAGTCCTCAGTGTCTGCAGATCCCATCTCAAGTTCAGAAGCTCAGGAACACCAACAGGTACAGTCTCTGGCCAGAACCATCTTTTGCAATCTCATTCATCTCTGTTTTTGGATTAAGTGTTGCATGTGGTTTTGCCGTGTAAAGCTGTGACTTGCTGTCACTAAGTTTGATGTGCCGTTCATTACGGAATTGAATCTGGTGGATAACGCTGAATATATCAAGCTCAGAACATCATCACTGCTCTGGGTGCTCTGACACATCCATTACCATAAGATGCTCCTATGACTGCTTCCTTTGGCACTTGCTGATGGCTTCTGGCACATGTTTGTAGGTGTAATTAAATAGTTGATACTGTTCTTTAATTCCTGTGCCAGATAACAAGCACAGTCTAAAGCAGTTTTGGAGCTGGAAGTGATCAGAGGTGATGGGGGTGGCTGAGGTTTTTGGTGTCTCCTGCACTCAGATCAATAGAAGACAAACCCTGAGTCTGTTGCCAAGTCTTGGTTTATGATGAACCTGCAGTTCTGATGAACCTTGGCAGGGGCATTTGAGCTTAATTATTTTTTATTGACCTTGCTTTGTTTGTCTTTCTGCTCTCTGCTGAGGGAAGTTTACTCAGTGTTTGACAGCTGCTCCTTGTCCTATTACAAAGTTAATGGGTGTATTCAGTTCCCTGTGTGCCAGAGCTGTGAAAATGTGTGTACCTTCTCCTTCCTCAGCAGATGTACGTAGTTCAAAAGAAGAGTTCTCCTGGGAGAATCTTTTTTACAAATCATTAAAAGGCATTTTCATTCCCTGGTTTTGTGGATATTGCCATTCCAGTTTTTACCAGCCCTGCTGTCTTCCCTCACTGCCCCATGATACATTTCAGCTTCTTGTCTCGACTTGCATGACATCCTGCTGCAGTTCAGGCTCTTTGATCTTGATTGTTACTCTTGGGCTCTGTAAATATTAACAAGTCCCACTTGGATAAGTGGGATGGTAACATTACAGTCTCTTCGTGGGTAGGAAACCAGAGGGAGCAGTGGCTGCTGGGGGTGAGTCAGCTGAAATTACACTGCTCATTTGATCAAGTGTTCAGAGCATCTGCCCAGCTTCCCTTCTCCAGCTCTGTCACTGCTGCTCCCTCACTCGGTGTCTCTGTTTGCCCACTGCAGACCTCACCTGAGGAGGTGTTTGCCTGGTGAGTGTGAAGATCTGAGCTGGGTTAGAGGAGGGTTCTGCAGAGCCCTGCACTGAGAGCTCTGACATCACCGCAGAGCACAGTGTGACCCTCAGGGAAGGACTGCACATGTGCACATACAAGTTAGGTGTACAAATTTGGTCTCCTCCTGATCCAGCCTGGAGTTCTCTACTGGGACTTTAAAGGTTCAGCTTCAGCAAGTGTTACTTTGTGTGAGTGCTGCACAGGGAAAACCCTCTGTGAGTGTGCCTGGCTTGTGCCTTGTCCTTCCTACTTGCCTACTGTCCTTCCAGAGGTCAGGGACTGCACTGGCACTGCCTTGGAGTTGATTTCCCTCCAGAAACCCACAGCTGGTGAAAGCTTTATTTCCTCTTCCAGGCCAATGGTCATGTGCCTCCGAGCCCAGCCTATGGAACAGCAGCTGAGAATGCAGCAGAAGCAGCAGCAGCAGAGGACGAGACACAGGTTTGTGTGTCCTGGAATTGGATGGCTGGGAATACCAGGGTTCCTGGGCTGGGTTTGCTACCAGAGGTGAACAGTAACTGAGACTGACCAAACTAAATCAACCCCTTCTGTGGCATCATCCTGTCCTCCACATACAGAAAGACCTGGTGTCACTTGGACACCATAGCAGAAATTATTTAGTTCTATCTCAAGATCTGTGTTTCTCATAGATGAATTCAGAGTAGCCACTTCTCTGTACATCCAAACCTGAATCTCTGCTAACACGCATGCTGAAAATTGACTGAAATTGTAGTTCAAGCTGTTGAGGGCAAGAATGATTCCCTCTTTGCTCCCTCCCAGTCCAGTGACTCTGAGGATAACCTGGTGCTGGGCAGGAAGGCCTCCCTGTCTGACCTGACGAGCATCGGGGACATCAACGCGCTCTCCGTGCGACAGCTCAAGGAAATCCTCGCCCGCAACTTCGTCAACTACAAAGGCTGCTGTGAGAAGTGGGAGCTGCTGGAGAGGGTCACTCGTCTCTACAGAGAGAAGGACCTTCAACATCTAGGTCAGAAACTTAGCCAACTTGTGCCTGTTGTCCAGGTTTAGCCTTTTTATAGACAGCTGTGCAAGGAAATAGAACTCGCCTTACATTTCTGGTGCAGCAAAGTGAGGAGGAAGGAGGGAATGTTTTGTACAGAGTGAGAGGAGCTGAACTCTGCTCACCACTCATTGCTGTTTGAGGGACAGTTCTGGCAGCCCTGCAGCAGCAGCAGCACAAGGGCTGTGCATCCTTCACCCTCGGTGTTGTGCATGCCCCCAACAGGTCTCGCTGGGCACTGCCTCACCCTCACAGCAGCTGGTGGCTGGCTCTACAAAACTGGATATGCTGAGCTCCTTTCTCTCAGCTCGTGGTACATGGAAAAGCCAGCAGGGAAATGCCCTGCCCAGGCAGGAACTGCCACCAAAGAGCAGCTGGGAGACTGAGGGCATGTGCTCAGGGCAGTGGCTCCCAGGGCTGCCCAGCTGTGGGTAGCTGGGGTTTTTCACTCTCTTAGCACCAGAGTGTTCCTGCTGCACGTGCTGGGCCTGCACAGGTGGCTGTGAGGGGACAGGGGTGCACAGAGAATATATCTGGCTTGATTTCCCAGGTGCCAGTTTCATTTCAAGGGCTTTCCTTAAAAAAGACACATATTTGTAAATTACTTACAAGAGAAACTTACTTTAACACTTGGATTTCATACGTTTGTTTCTCAGTGTTGTTTTCTTAAACATATCTCTCTAGGCTTTGCCTTCTATGGATGATCCAAGATTTAAGATTTGGGGTTATATTCTTTCATTATCTTGTGCTTTTGATGCAATTTATCCTTTCACTCACTGTGTGTCTGTGTTCAGTCACTTGGTGATTGTGTAACAGCAGAGGAACTGGTACAAGGGGCTGCTGCAGGTGCAGCACTGGGAAGCCAAACTCTGTCTTAAAAATGGGGACATCCCTTTGGATCCTTTATCTCTGGGAAGCTTTAACTGTTCTGTAAGCTTAGTATAGGAGAATGTTTCTTGTCAGTTGTTGAACCTGTCCTGGTCAGAATCCAGCCTGAGCTTCCCATGGTGATCAGCAAAAAGCAGCTTTGGTTTAGCAACTCCTTCAAGGTTTTCAGCCCCTGCCTGGTAAAACTTCTCTCCCAGCTTTCCAGATTCTCACCAATTCCCTCTTTTCTTCTGTTGCAGTTTTGGACACTGATGATCAAACTGGTGAGTGAGATCCTTAATCATGGAGTTGTTTATTGGGAAAAACCCTCCAAGATCCAGTCCCACTAGCACTGCCAAGGTCACCCCTCTAAGCCATGTCCCCAAATGCCACATCTACATGGCTTTTAAACCCCTCCCCAGGGTTGTTTATGCCACCACTGCCCTGAGCAGCCTCTTCCAGAGCTTGACAATCCTTTTGAAAATGCATTTCAGGAAAAATTTCTATCTAATTGAGCACAACTTGAGGTCATTTCCTCTTGTGCTGTTACCTGGGAAGAGAGAGCCCTGTTGCTTCATTTGTCTCATCACTGAGAATCTCAGTGGTATTTATTTCCATCTCACAGAAATTACTGTGGAAAAGCTAAAACTTCTGCTGCTTGCCAGCTAATGGAGCAGCCACCAGGGGAATTCCTTTGCAGACCTCGTCCCTTAGGGAATCCCTTCAGCAGAGCCAACTGGGGCTGCACAAACCCCTCCACGCCTCCCTGTGTGTGACCCATCCGTGCTCTCCTGTCCCCCCAGGTGCTGCTGGGCCCCCCAGCACCGAGGACAACCTGTGCAGGATCTGCATGGACGCTCCCACGGACTGTGTGCTGCTGGAGTGCGGGCACATGGTGACGTGCACCAAGTGCGGGAAGCGCATGAGCGAGTGCCCCATCTGCCGCCAGTACGTCATCAGGGCCGTGCACGTCTTCAGGACCTAGAGGTGCCCTGGGCTCAGGCTGCTGTGCCTTAAAGCCTCCGTGCTCTTCGGGAAAGGGCCACCATCCCTGCCAGTAATTACCCTGGAGATTAGCGTGGAGCCTGCTGCGAGGGAGCGAAGGAGAAGCCTGGGGAAAGCTGCTCTGCTCAAGCCATGCCCGACTCTGCTCGTCCCACGTCGTGCTTTACACCACAGTGCCTGGACTCCTTGGAGCTCATTGCCAGCAATCATTAACCGCCTCCATGCCAGGGTAATTTGAGGACAGATGGATGCCCAGCTTTCTGCCAGGACGATCAGCTCCAGAGGCTTTGTATTTTCCTCTGAATAATAAAAGTGAACTGGGGTCTCAAAAAGTGTCCTTTGTTTTGCTGCTCAGGCTATGCCCGGCAACAACTTGATTTTTGAAGATTAAAATGTCACTGTGCTTGTTAATTTTACTTTTATTTTTAAGTTAATGTCAAATTGTTATGCTTGCAGGACAGGCAGACCGCCCCTGCTTTCCCTAATTCCAGCCTAGTGCAATTGTGGAAAAATGTGTAATTTTATATCAAGGTTGTCTTTGTATTATTGAAAACTGTTGGCAAGGGAGGCTGGGAAGGCTCAGCCTTGCCCTGAGTGCTGGGTTTTTGTTTCTGTGCCACAGGGAGGTTTCTGGTTTGATTTTGTCGACTTTGACTTCACAGCTTGTGCCAGAGGTGGGGCTCAAACTGAACTGCCCTCGCTTGCTGAGGGAGTTACCAATCCAAGGCTTGAGATGTCCCCAGGGTTTAATGAGGAAACCACAGAGCTGCAGAGTAGTGAGGATCCACTCCTACACAATCATATTTAAGTACAGGTAACTTTCTTTTTTTAGAAGGGAATCATGGGAGAAAGCCTTTGTGTCCCTTGGATCCGTGAGCACTCTCCAGTGCAGATCAGCTTCCCCATCCTCCCCAGGGCTCAGTTTTACAGTTCTGTTACCTTCCACTGCTTATCAAAAGCAATTTCGTCCTTTCTGCTGGTGAGGGTGGAGACAGAGGCTGTGACCTGATCCCTGGCAGCTCTCCTGGGCAGTGTGATCAGCTGGAAGAGATTTGCTGGAGAGCTCTGGCAGTTCTTGCTGGAGGTGACTGGAACTGCTGTATTTTCCCCTAAGTGTCCATCACTGTGGGCTTGTGCCCTCATTCCAGGGCAGCTGTGAGGCTGAGACCCCTGTGCCGCTTTCCTGGCTGCTCTGGGGAGAGGGGGTGGTTCTGTTGCAGCCTGGCTGCCAGCAGAGAACAGCACAAAGCCTGAGGGATTCTGCAGTGAGCCCCTCCCAGCTCCGGGGGCACTCAGGTGCAGCTGCAGGGACAGCACCAAAGCTCCTGTGAGTGGCAGTAATGTCAACAGCACCTTCACCCTGTGTGTTCTGAACAGGGACAGCTCCAGGGGCAGCAGCTCCGCTGCAGGAGTGCAGGGGCTTTGCTCTGGGAGCTGCAGCCAAAACACAGCACCTGAGATGAGAAATCCATGGCTCAGGAGGAGCAGGAGACAGCCACGGATTTCTCACTGGGGTGGTCTCACAACTCCACAAAACTTCACTGAACGCAGCAGTCTGAGTTCTACCTCTGTCCCAGGTCAGGCTGTTCTTTAATCTCTGACTTAAGGTTTAACAGATCCAGCATGAGAACAAACTGAACAAGTCAGTCCATCAGGACAGAAAAAAAGGCAAGTAAGGAGTGACTCTGTTTGCTCTGGAGAGGGCACAGGGACCTCGAAGAGCTGCAGGGATCCACAAAGTACAGAACAGCCTCATGTAGGAAATTCACTGTGAAAATTCATGTTGTCATATTTTTCAATAACTCAGGGCTGGGGGAATTTAGCAGGAAGAAGATGATTCCCCTATGGATAGATGTACCTTTCCTTGTAGAGGGTAGGCTTATTTTCAACAGCAGTTAAACCAAGCTGCAGATCAATGCCTGAAATTTTAGGGATGAGAAGATCCACCCACCCTGTGACTCAAAAATGTGCTTTGTGAAGGGAGGGCTCTTGTTTCCCTTATAAAAATGGATACTCTACTTATGGATGTGAGTTATTTTAAAGGAAAATCAAAACCTGGAGGAAACTGATTAATCATCCAAAGGAATATAATGTTCTGAACTAATAAAGTAAATGGAAATATTTATGTGGTTTATGTACACTGTACATGGTTTAAAGATTTTAAAAGTTAATATTCTACTTGAAAGGGCATGTTATTCGCTATTAAATCCTCTGGTACTATGACAGTTAAACTTACTAGTTTTGGTACAGAAGTTTGGTTTATAATTTTATAATAAAGTGAAATGTGATTTAGTTAACTTTGTTTCTGACTCTGTTACAAGCAGAGATCCTACAGCTACTGCTGAACCTCAGCCACAAACTGGGATCCCAGGTGTTTACATATTGTTAGTGGGGAGGTACAGAAGAGGTGGAGGAGGAAAAAAAATTACCTGACAATACAAATGACCTTGGCACCACAGCCAAGAATCCCATGGAGCTGCTGCTCTGTTTTCCGGAACAGGAAGAGAAGAACCTTTGGAAAATAAGTCCTGACAGCAAAGGAGAAGCTGCTTCAGTTTTATTTCTTTATCTATAAAAATACCCAAACTTTAAAAACCCAAGGAGACTAAACCTGCACCTAGATAAGGGCAGTGGTCTACAGTACGGGCAGCAAAATGGGAGTCAGCAGTGAGGTTTCTGCAGAGAACTTTTGAAATTCATTCCATGGGTGGCTCTGGATCTGTAGCTACTCCTGAGGGCACTTCCTGTCTCTCCACACCTCCATGGAGGAATCCCCATGGATCTGCACTTCCCTATTCCCACCTGTGCTGTGCCAGCACTGCCCCCTGTGCTAGCACGGGGCCACCAGCCTGCGCTTCCGGATGCACTCCCAGATCCACCGGGGAGTGACACGCTGGGCCCCGGGGTTGTCCTCAATGTCCCCAATCACGTGTGTGGCCGAGGCCGTGTCGAACTCTGCCACCAGGTCCCCGTCAAAGGCGATGAAGTAGCGGCGGATTCGGGCAAAGTCCTTCACGGAGGGCGCCAGGTACAGCTTCACCCCCGTGAAAATGTCCAGCAGTGGCTGCTGAGGGGGAAGGAGAAGCAGAGCTTGGGAAAAACGTTCCTTGGAATGGAAGTGAAGACACAACAACGGCCTCAGCCTCCCCCACCCCACCCGGGGTGCTGACTGTACCTTCTTTCCATTGTCCTCCATCTCGGATGCTTTTCTCTTCTCCCCTCGCTTCTCCTCGGATTTCTGAGGGGATCCAGTGACTCCTTTGCTCTCTAAAAACAAACATTTGGCTCGTGCCTGTGCTCTGTCCAGATACTGGTTGTGTATTAATGTTGGGGAAGAGAGTAAAGAGCAGAAGGGAGAAGTTTCCTGTCCTCTTTCTGGAAAATCCATGAATTACTGGCACTAGTGAGAAACATTTTTCTACTGGAAATTCCCAGGCTGCTGCTGCCATCTACCCTCCACACTGTCAGCACTCTGTGCTCTGTGAAACTGCCCAGAAATCTGCTTCATGTTCCAGCTCAATTCACCTGGAAATCACCTACAGCCACGTGTCCCTTTACACACAGGAATTCCATCCAAATCAAATTAAACACTGGCTCATGGCCAACAGTCTCTAACCAAGGAGCTATGACCTGCAGAAATGGGAGCAGTGAACACCAACCTCAACAGCATCATCAGAGCCGTTTCCATCCATCTTTTCCCAATCCCAGGACATCTCAGAGCTCTGGATACTCAATTCATATTGGGCCTAACCAAGGATCTGAACAGCTCTACCCATTATCCCTGAGATCCATGTGAAAGGTGGGATCATCAAGCCTCTGACAGAAGGCAAGGACCAGAGCCAGCACAGAGGACACAGGCCCAGGCTCCTTCCTGAAAGCACCATCCTCTTACCTTCTGCCTTCTGGGCTTTTGCAGGTGACTTGCTTGGGGGACTCTTAATACTGCTGTGAGGTGTGGAAGACCTGGAATTCGCATCATTCTCTCCACTGCTGCCAGCTGTGGACTCATCTTCCTCCCCAGCTGTAACACTGAAATCAGCCTTCTCCTTGGAGAGCTGGTACAGCTCCTGCCCAGCAGAAACAGCACTGATCATGTCTGGCACTGCACACGAGCTGTGATGCAGAGACTTGCTCTGGTTTTCTCCCCCTGAAGTGTTTGCTCAAAAGCTTTTTCTCCTCCTGCACCTCTCTGCAGTGTTTTTCCTGTTAACTGTCCCAGCTCCCTGCATCCCACCCCTCTCCTGGCATTAAGGGAAGCCCCACAGGGAGAAGCAAAAGCCACATCCACATCATCTGCTACAGAGCAAGAGCCTGATTCACCAGAGCCTGAGGGATGAGCAGTGCCCAGTGCTCAGTGTGGGAAGGGCCCATCTGCAGACAGGTTTGTTCCCCCTCCTCTCCACAGGGATCCTGGCAGGCCCTGGAGGGCTGCATCACTTCTGCTCTCCATGGCACAAGCAGCCCTGGCAGCCCCAAACTGCAGCATCTCCCATGGGCACAGAGCTCCCCACTGCCAGGGCTGGCACTGGGCTCCTTCCCCTCAGCACAGGAGGGTGAGGGGTGACTGCAGCCCAGGGGTCCTGGCTGGTGCCACCTGGCCTGTGCCCCAGGATACCCACAGGCACTTTCCAAATGCCTCTCCCAGTCTCAGCAACTGAGAGGAAACTGAATGAGCATGGAGAGAATAAAGGTCTGCCCAAGGAGGTGGAGTCACCATCCCTGGATGTGTTTAAAAAAAGCCTGGACGTGGCACTCAGTGCCCTGGTTTAGTTGCTGAGGAGGTGTTAGGTCACAGGCTGGACTTGATCTGAAAAGGTCTTTTCCAACCGAGTTCATTCAGTGATTCTGTGGTCACCTCTGAGGAAGGCAATTCCTCACCCTGCCACAAGAGCTGATGGAACCAACTGCCAGCAGAGACTTCTCTGACAGGGAACAACCACACAACAGCTCAAGGGAGCTCAGAGGCCTCCACAGGAGAACA